GGGCCACTGTTTCCCCCCAAACTGATTCCAGGTTTTTTTTCTATTTCTCATTTGGGCCCCCCCCCCCCCCCTTTTTTGGATCCCCAAAAAGTTGAAGAACGTAAACTCCCCCTTTTTGTTTAGAAAGTTTGGAGACCCCGGGTTTTTTAGAGGATGGGGGGCCCGCTTATCCACCCCCCCACAAACCCTTCTCCCTTTTACCCCCCCCCTTTTTCGGGGGTCTAGCAGTCTGTGAGGTGGACTTTTCCCTAAATCACCCCCTTTAAGGAGATTACCCTCTCTTTTTGTTTTTTTTTACCATGATCTTTGGGGAAGAAAAAGAAAATCCCTAATTTCGGTTGTCCCCAAAAAGAAATAGGGGGGAAACTTCCAATGGGGAAACACAAAAAAATTTTTGGGGGGGCCCTCAAAGGATTCCCTTAAATTTTGCAAGGTTTTCCCTTTATTTCCCTGTTTGGCTAGGGGGAAGGAAGGGGAAGGGAAATCTCCCCCCTTGCTCTATCCAAATTTTAAAAAAAAAAAAAAGTTTTCCCAAAATATTCTCGTTAACCTTTTTGGGATCCAGGTCAGGATATTAGTGGAAACTGTACAACGCCACAATTTTGACTTACTAAAATCTTTCTTTAAATTTGAATGACATTTAGATTTTTTTTTTTAGTGGCCCGTCTACCCTGAGATATTTACCCCCCCAGCCCGGGCCCCATTTAGATTATCACAATCCCTCGAAGTTGCAAGTACATATGAGTGCTATGAATGCAAGCTTGTCACAGAATTTTCCTAGGCTTTACACTATAACCACTTTTTTGCTATACGGCGCTGCTTCTACTTAAAGCAGAGTTTTCACTCATACCTAAGAAAAAAATATAAAAGTCACGCTGCTACAAAAAATCTGTAGGCTGCTATTGACTTTTTTAAAAACAGCCACTTAACCTGTCCCTCGGTCCCGTGTGTGTCCCCCGCAGCCCGTGTCACCGGCATCTTCAGTGTGGGCACACGGCTGTGACTGCCTATGCTGCTTCATTGATGTTTGCGAAAAGTATGCGCTGCGCTTTGTGTGAATGGGTCCTGTAAATCTTCTGGGGACCTGGTCACGTTTGTCCCAAAAGACTACAGGGAGGGAGGGAGGTCACCTTATGATTAGGCGATCTGGTCGGAAGTGGGAGCCGGGTAGCCTGTCAATTCGGGTTTTCCGCCCCCCCCCCGATCCCACAAAGGTGGCAATAACCTTAATGGGGAGCAGGTCCTTAAAGTGGAACTTCCCCTTTTGGGTGGAGCTCCCGCTTTAAACTGACAATTATGCAGTCATGCAAATACTTGTACACAAATTAAATTTGATCATCCACTGGGTTTTCTAATTTTTTGCACTGTGAATGAAAAAGACCAAAAAAACCCCAAAACAAAATTTTTACTTTTTGCTATTGACATATCCAATAAGAAAAACACTGAAATTTTCTTCAAATATTTAGGCCAAAATGTATTCTGCTTACATGTCTTTGGTAAAAATAATCCTAATAAGTGTTATATGAATTGGTTTTGCATGAAAATGAATAGTGTCTACAAACTATAGATACTGAAATATTTTTTTTATAGAGCAACTTATAGCAGGACTGTGACAGGTAGTATGGATGGCATTCTGACACTAACTGACACTGGGTGGGAACTCACTAACTGCCATTGACATCTCTAGTGACCCTAGTGATTAGTGCTAATAAAAAGCACGACTGATGACTCTTCATAAACTGACTTGTCTGGGAATGCCGATCTCCTGGTCCCCCACTGCCCTGAGTGGTTCAGTCTGCTGACCACTACATCACTACTGTGTCCTAGAGATGTAAGGATTGGTGGAACGACCATTACAGTGCAGCAGGGAACCAGGAGAATAATGCTCCTGAATGTGTTTGTTTCTTGGCTAGGTACAGTTGTGTTCAAAAATAATAGCAGTGTGTTGAAAAAAGTGAATAAAGCTCAAAAATCCTTCTAATAGCTTTTATGTCCATACACACAAATTGCATTGAGAACACGACACATTCTATTCCAAATCAAAACATGAAAAAAAAAAAAATTGAAGAAAAGTGAATATTAGACTGTTCAAAAAAATCGCAGTGTTTGTATTCTTCTTTACAAACTCAAACATTCACTATATAAACTGAAGAATGTTTGAAGATTTTGCTTTCCTTTGAATGACTTCATGAATATTTGGTTGTAGTCGCACTGTTTCTGAGAACTGCTGTACATCTGTGTTGCATGGAGTCACCAACTTCTGGCCCCTGTGATCAGGTATTCCAGCCCAGGGATGATTGGACTACATTCCACAGTTCTTCTCTATTTCTTGGTTTTGCCTCAGAAACTGCATTTTTTATGTCACCCCACAAGTTTTCTATTGGATTAAGATCGGGGATTGGGCTGGCCACTCCATAACGTCAATCTTGTTGGTCTGGAACCAAGATGTTGCACGTTTACTGGTGTGTTTGGGGTCGTTGTCTTGTTGGAACACCCATTTCAAGGACATTTCCTCTGCAGCATAAGGCGGCATGACCTCTTCAAGTATTCTGATGTATTCAAACTGATCCATGATCCCTGGTATGCGATAAATAGGCCCAACACCGTTAGTATGAGAAACATCCCCATATCATGATGCTTGCACCACCATGCTTCACTGTCTTCACAGTGTACTGTGGCTTGAATTCAGTGTTTGGGGGTCGTCTGACAAACTGTCTCTGGCACATAGACCCAAAAAGAACAATCTTACTTTCATCAGTCCACAAAATGTTGCGCCATTTCTCTTTAGGCCAGTCAATGTGCTCTTTGGCAAATTGTAACCTCTTCAGCACATGTCTTTTTTTCCAACAGTGGGACTTTGCGGGGGCTTCTTGCAGATAGCTTGGCTTCACATAGGTGTCTTCTAATTGTAACAGTCCTCACAGGGAACTTTACACCTTCTTTCATCTTCCTGGAGCTGATTGTTGGCTGAGTCCTTGCCATTTTGGCTATTTTTTTTCTATCCATTCAAATGGTAGTTTTTTGCTTTCTTCCACGTCTTTCAGGTTTTTGGTTGCCATTTTAAAGCATTTGCGATCATTTTAGCTGAGCAGCCGATCATTTTCTGCACTTCTTTATATGTTTTCCCCTCTCCAATCAACTTTTTAATCAAGGTACGCTGTTCTTCTGAACAATGTCTGGAACGACCCATTTTCCTCAGAATTTCAGAGAGAAATGCACTGTAACCAGCATATACAACATTTGCTGCCTTCCTTCCTTAAATAAGGGCAATAATTGCCACCTGTTTTTCAAAGAATGAATGACCTCACTAATAGAACTCCACACTGCTATTATTTTGAACATGCCCCTTTCAATGAGTGATTCAATTACACAGAATCAGCAGCATGCATGTCATGACTGTTGGGTCTGTTGGATTTCTATTACTCTACTACAGCTGCTAGTAAATTATTTGCCATGTAGAAATATCATTTCCACCAAAAACAGTGATTGATCCGGTTAGTGATGTCTGACTGCTATTATTTTGAACACAACTGTATATTACTGTAACAGATGGCAAACTGCTCTTGGGTCTTGCTGACTACCTGCTAATGTGGCACATATCACTTGTGTCAGTTTCCTTCGCCATTTCTAGCTTTGTTAATCCCCCCCCCCCCCGGTCTTTACCTTATAGTCGCTGTTACGTGAACATTCGCGATATGTTTTCACGTTTTTGCTTATCACAAATTTCATCATCGCAGGAATTTCCTGAGTCGCAAAATTTTGTGCAATCGCTGCACTGCACAAGTTGTGCACCCTGCTGGGAAACACCTGAGGAGAGATCAGAGAAGCTTCATGAATGACTCATCTATCAACAGTTCACTGAATCTTAAAGTGGACCTTTCATGAGCCTGAATGGTGCCTAAACCAAGATGGCTCATCCTGAAAAGGAGCAGAAGAAGAAAAAAAAAAGAAGAAAAACCTACATTAACAATTTAATTTTAGACATACCATGTCCACTGTGCGCCTTGATCTTCATTGAGCAACAAAGAATCAGTGTAACCATACAGGTAGGTTGAATATAAATGGCATATGTCTGCATTTTTCTCCAACACACAGCAATGCGTTACATTGCACCGAAACGCGTTGAAGGCAGGTTTATAGGAGCCCCTAAAGTGGAACTCCAAAAACACATGCTGGACATAACTCTATTTTTACTGTTTTATCTGCCAAAGATGTTGCTTTTTTTTTTTTTTTTTTTTTTTTACAAACACTTTTGTGAAATACTCCAAAAGGATACATACACCGCACTCAACCTATTTATCGCAGAGGAACCTGTGAAATAATTTTCAGGTCTCAGCGAACCTCCTGCTAAAAAAAAAATTTGTCAGGGTTAGTAGGCAGAATGACCTTTACATTGGTGGTCAGTGAGAATAATACCCTGCATGCAGTGGTAGTCAGTATGAAAAATATCCTCCTTTCATTGGTGGTCAGTAGGAAGAAGAACCTCCTTACACTGATGGTCAGTGGGAAGAATGCTCCTTACATTGCTGGTCAGTGCGAAGAATGCTCCTTCCATTGGTAGTCAGTAGCAAGAAGAACCGTCTTACACTAGTGGTCAGTGGGAAGAATGCTCCTTTCATTGGTAGTCAGTAGGAAGAAGAACCGCCTTACACTAGTGGTCAGTGCGAAGAATGCTCCTTTCATTGGTAGTCAGTAGGAAGAAGAACCGCCTTACACTAGTGGTCAGTGCGAAGAATGCTCCTTTCATTGGTAGTCAGTAGGAAGAAGAACCGCCTTACACTAGTGGTCAGTGCGAAGAATACTCCTTACATTGGTGGTCAGTAGGAAGAAGAACCTCCTTACACTAGTGGTCAGTGCAAAGAATGCTCCTTTCATTGGTGGTCAGTAGGAAGAAGAACCTCCTTACACTAGTGGTCTGGTCAGTGCAAAGAATGCTCCTTTCATTGGTGGTCAGTAGGAAGAACCTCCTTACACTAGTGGTCAAAGAATGCTCCTTACATTGCTGGTCAGTGGGAAGGATGGTCCTTACATTGGTGGTCAGTGGGAAGAATGCTCCTTACATTGGTGGTCAGTGGGAAGGATGGTCCCTTATTGGTTGGTCAGCTCCTAACATTGGTGGTCATGCAAAGAATCCTTACATTGGTGGTCGTGGGAAGAATGCTCCTTACATTGGAGGTCAGTGGGAAGAATGTCCGTTACATTGGTGGTCAGTGGGAAGGATGCTCCTAACATTGGTGGTCAGTGGGAAGGATGCTCCTAACATTGGTGGTCAGTGGGAAGGATGCTCCTAACATTGGTGGTCAGTGGGAAGGATGCTCCTTACATTGCTGGTCAGTGGGAAGAACGACCCTTATATTGGTGATGAGTGGGAAGGATGCTCCTTACATTGCTGGTCAGTGGGAAGAATGCCCCTTACTTCGGTGGTCAGTGGGAAGTATACTGCCCATACATTGGTGGTCAGTGCTAGGAAAGTCCTCTACATTGATGGTCAGTTCGAAGAATACCCCTCTTATGATGGTCATACATGTAACAATCTGATCAATCAATTCACAGGATTGGACAATATGATCAAATATATGAATAAACTAAAAGATACATGCTGTGTCATCGATCAATTTATTATTATTTATTATTATTATTATTATATTATTATTTATTTATTTCAGGTACTTATATGGAGCGCTATCAATTTACGCAGCGCTTTACATACAGGATTTATATAGCGCCAACAGTTTGCTCAGCGCTTTACAATATAACAGGAGACAATACAGCAACAATGCATTCAATACAAGAGGGATAGGAGGGCCTGATCCTGGGAGCCTACAGGATTTATATAGTACCAACAGTTTGCGCAGCGCTTTACAAAATTAAGGCAGACATTCCAGTTACAATACAATTTGGTACAAGAGGATACAGAGGGCCGGCTGTTAGAGCTTCCAATCTAGGAGGAAGGGTTAAGTGATACAAAAGGTAATAGCTGTGGGGGGGATGACCTGATGGAGGAAATAAATGGCGGTTTACTAGGTAGAAGCAGGATAGGCTTCTTTTAAAAAGAATTGTTTTCAGGGATTGTCTAAAGGTGGATAGATTAGGAGATAGCCAGAGAGATTGGGGTAGGTGAGTTCCATAGGATGGGAGAAACTCAGGAGAAATCCTGGAGGCGATTGCTAATTTACAGCAAACCCCATCAATTTCATCTGAAATTTTTTGATGTAGAAAAGTAGATACATCAGTATAATTGCTAATCGTATGTCACATTGAGCGATCTTTCAGATCTTCTGATCATATATGTCTTCTCAAAAGCAATCCACTCGACAATAAGAACATTAAATTGTTTAGTCACTATTACAGACAACTAAAAGAAAGGTCGGCAGTAACATGCCCTTGGATCTGCCAAATGGTGTTGGACCCAGTACTATGCAGGTGCTATCAGATGGAAGGTCAATCAGTCCTTAGTTCCCCTAGGAACCTCTGAAGGAACTCTGGTTGAGAATGGCTGACCTAATGGAGGAGATCAGGTTGGTGATGTGACTGAGTGGAGGATATTTGAGTGTAGCGCTTGTATCTTCTTGGGGTATATTTGTCGGTGAGTACAGACCTGTGCAGGGCTGCTATTGAGACCATGAACTGAACATTATGGGATTATGCCAGTTTTGTGGTATCCACTCATGTTCTACACTGCATAACCATACCAATGGCAAGACTACAGAATTCATCATCCTGGCACAGCAATTCAGCTTTCCGTGTCAACCCTCCACCTCCAGTCTGCTCATTGAATCATCATCCGCTCCTTTTAATGAGCAGGGAGGTGACCCAGAATGCTGGGAAGCAGGAAGTAGGGTAATCATCAGATGTGTAAAAGAAGAATGGATGGCCAAAAATAACAATTTCTTCTAAGACAACTCCATGAGCTATGCTGACTACTGCCACATGCATGGCTAATGAGGTCAACACCTTATCTTGGATTATTTCCAGTCCTATGATTTGTTTCCTCTAAATAACATTAGCAAAAAGTCCCATTTTACTAGTCGGGGTGGTAAAAATACAGGTAATGTTGCATTTTTAATGACTACGTGATAAACTATAGCTATAAGTGTTTTTTGTATATCTGTGTGGAGTCAGCAGTTTCTCTGTGAAACTGTCTCTGAGATAACAAAGGTTTGTTACTGCTCCCAGTATAGAGTACAAGAAATGGAATGTGGAGAATTTCAGCTTTCATGCACAAGAAATATTTACCTTCAAGGGGATTTCTAGGAGAGAATAAGATCATACCCTTGAGACAAGCACTTTCTTTATTTTTAAAGTGGAGCTCCAGACGAAACGTCTGTTTTAAAAAAAAAACAGAAATGGGGCACTGGATCCAGATTATCATTAGGTCCATCAGATTGAGGAAAGGCACAATGATAATTATTATTATTATACAGGATTTATATTATTATTATTATACAGGATTTATATATTATTATTATACAGGATTTATATATTATTATTATACAGGATTTATATAGCGCCAACAGTTTGCTCAGCGCTTTACAATATAATGGGAGACAATAGAGATAATACAGTTCAATACAAGAGGGATAGGAGGGCCCTGATCCTTGGAGTTTACAATCTAGGAGATAAGGTTGTTATCAAGAAAACTGGGTGTAACATAAATGTAAGAGTAGAACCATTTTCTCAAGAGTTGGGATGTGATCAGTAGAAATATGTAACCGTAGATCTGGTTTAGTTCCGTGTTATTACAGATAAGTGTTCAGTATTCGGTCAGAGACATATGTTCACCAATTAGCATCTGAAAGGACAGAGCAGCTTCTAGGCTGGAGGTGACACCTAGATGCCAATAAAACGTTGTCACCTATGTAGCCAGAGCTTGCCACCTTCTTGAATCCAAAAGAAGAATCCTAGTCATTTTTCGGCTTCAAGAAACTGCAGGGGACCAGGACAGGGCTCCGAAATGTCTGCCAGCTCTGATTTATATCCACAGATTCGAGGAATCTATTTTATCTCTCATAAAAGCTAAAATATTAGTTGTGGAGAGATGGAAATACTTCCTTCTGATTGGACACATTTTAGGATCCATCTACATGTAAAAGTGTATTTGTAGCCTCTGTAGAATCCCCAAGAAACGCACATATATAATATATGATGCTTGAATGTGCCAGCTGAACAGTGGTTGGTACTGTCGCGATTGGACTGATGCACTGGTGTCGGAAATGTTATCCCTGACCCGGTGATCCGAACCGTTCCTGGTCCAATTGAGATTGGGGACTTTAGAACACAGAATATCCTGTGGGCTGGTACAAGAACACCCCCCAGGGTTGATTGGCCAAAGGCTAAAGTCCAGCCCACATCCATATTTCAATAAATTGAGGATCCAGAGATATGGACGGGGTGATTCGTACGGAGCCGGTTCCATTTGACTGGCAAATTGCGGACTTTCTTTGACTTGCTCCAGTCGCAGGATAAATCTTGGTAAAAGTTTTATTTATGTTTTTATTCCCTTTTTATTTTATAGTGAATAGCCAATTGTGTGTCTTTTTGTCATTTTCTGTAACTCTTTTTTTCTTTCTACATATTTTATGCACTGCCCACTTTCGGGATATTAAATCATAAAATTAATAAGCGACTTCTGTTTACTTCAGCTCGGGCTCATATCTCCGGAGAGATTGTTGTATTGTAGTGTCTATGTGCTTGGTCTAAGTTCATTGCCAATCTGTATGCAATTGCACTGCGTGTTGGCAGATTGCATGCAGATTGTAAAAGTAGCAGATCTGCCAGAAGGAGATCTGTGTGTGTGCGGTGGCCCAGCAGACCAGTCTGCGGACAAACTATTGGGTGGTGGCAAGCTACCGGTTGTGGTGTGTCTGGTGTGGGGGTGTGTGGACAGTGGAAGAGTGATTAACACCAGGGTTCTAGCTTGTAGGATAGCTGGAAGAATCCTAGAAGGGTGTGCCAATTGCTAGACTGCTCCCCAACCCTTAGAGTGCACCAGATTGTATGTAAGATTCGTATCTGCCTGTAGGTGGTCAGCCAGCTGGATTGGAGTGGAGTCTCCCTTTAGTGGTGGCCAGAGGTAGTGCAGCTGTGAAAGGGTATCACGACCAGTCTTATATGCTCAAAGTCCCCCTCATTCCTTCTTTACCCCAGTCACGGATCATGTCTCGGTTAGCTAGTAGCTGTGGGTGTGTGTTTGATCCATGACACTGGGGCATCCCTCAAACCAGGGGCTTTGAAGATTCAAATGTACTGCTACAGTACTATCAGGATCCCTGCTGGGTTTTCCAGGATTTCCAGGATTCTTAGAACCTTCAGAACTCACAGGATCACTGCTGGGCCTTCCAGAATTTCTATGACCTTCAGTACACATAGAATTACTGCTCGATTTTCCAGGATTCCCAGAATCTCCATTATTCACAAGATCCTTGAAGGGTCTTCCAGTATTCCCAGGACCTCCAGTATTCCTAGGATACTTTATGGGTCTTCCAGGATTGCCAGGATTCTTAGAACCTTCAGTACTAACAGGATCCATGCTGGGTTTTCCAAAGTTTCAAGGATTCCATTGACCTTTAGTACTCACAGGATTCCTGCTGGGCCTTCCAGGATTCCTATGAACTTCAGTACTCATATAATTACTGCTGAATTTTCCAGGATTCCCAGAACCTCCATTTCACAGGATTCTTGAAGGGTTTTCCAGGATTCCCAGGACCTCCAGTACTCCTAGGAACCCTGACAAGGCTGCCAGAATTCCTAGGACCACTAATAATCCTAGGATTCCTGACGAGTCTTCCAAGATTCCCAGGACCTACAGTATTCACAGGATTCTTGAAGGGTTTTCCAGGATTCCCAGGACCTCCAGTATTGCTAGGATCCCTGATGGGTCTTCCAGGATTCCCAAGACCTCCAGTATTCCTAGGAACCCTGACAAGGCTGCCAGAATTCCTAGGACTACTAATAATCCTAGGATTCCTGACGAGTCTTCCAAGATTCCCAGGACCTACCGTATTCACAGGTTCCCTGCTGGGCCTTCCAGGATTACTATGAACTTCAGTACTCATATAATTACTGGTGGATTTTCCAGGATTCCCAGAACCTCCATTATTCACAGGATTCTTGAAGGGTTTTCCAGGATTCCCAGGACCTCCAGTATTGCTAGGATCCCCAATGGGTCTTCCGGGATTCCCAAGACCTCCAGTATTCCTAGGAACCCTGACAAGGCTGCCAGAATTCCTAGGGCCACTAATAATCCTAGGATTCCTGACGAGTCTTCCAAGATTCCCAGGACCTACAGTATTCACAGGTTCCCTGCTGGGCCTTCCAGGATTACTATGAACTTCAGTACTCCTATAATTACTGCTGGATTTTCCAGAATTCCCAGAACCTCCATTATTCACAGGATTCTTGAAGGGTTTTCCAGGATTCCCAGGACCTCCAGTATTGCTAGGATCCCCGATGGGTCTTCCAGGATTCCCAAGACCTCCAGTATTCCTAGGAACCCTGACAAGGCTGCCAGAATTCCTAGGACCACTAATAATCCTAGGATTC